CACTAAGGGTAATACATATATATATATATATATGTCCCTTGACTGGAAAAAGTAGAAAATGCCATGAACAATAGAAAAAGGATTTAGTTCTGTTTTTCTTGTCTTGGTTTTTTTTTTTTAATAAGCTGAGGAGGTTCACTTCGAAATTGAGAGAAGATAAACTAACATGGGATGGCAGTCTTTGGTGGATAAACATGATTATGCATTTGGAATATTGATTCAAAAGGAAACCAAAAACTATTTGTTTCACTTATATTCTTAGATTTTGCATTCAGTGTTCATATATCAGAAACTTACTATTGACAAGTCTATCCACATTTTTTTCACTTTTTGCAAAGGTTAACACACATGTCTTCTTTTTGGCAAATAATAGTAGCTCATGGATAATCTGGTTTGAGCTCTAGACTACAGAGGAGAAGGCCGAATACTTACAATGGCATTGTTCATAATATCATACGATTTTGAAAGTGATTATACTTTATATATGTATTCGGTTATATATTTATTTAAAAAATAAAAAATTATGTATCGATTATTGAATTAAATATTCTGATGTTATATTTGATTATTTAAATTATGCCTTTTTAGATCATTTAGCACTATTTATACTAGAGTTTGTTAGTTGATTTTTTTTTATTGAAGTTGTTAATTAATTTCTAAAACCAAATTGCAATGTTTTTCCTATACAGGCTAGATGCTTGGATATGAACACATGAGAATATAGCTTTGAATTCCCTTGATAGAAAATAAAATGACAGAAACCATGAATGGCAAACCCTACCTGGCAAGCATCTGTTGTTTCTGACAAACCAAATTATAATCCGCACGGCTACTTATTTGGATTGGGGGCGTGCGAGTGGTGTGATCTAACCCTCGACACTGGTGTAAAATTTTTTTATGGCCACTGTACTAAAATGATCTGGCTAAGCTGGTTTTTTTTCCCTCTATTCTATTATTAATCAATAGTATATTCATAGTGGATTATCAGCAAGTTGCAACAAACAGGATCTATAGTGACAATGAATACAAAAAGTAGAACAAAGAGGAAAAGCCATCCACATCTGATTGGTTATTTGTTTATTTCAGATCGAGAATGATTGACAACCAACTTGTTCATTCTATCTCTATCGCATTCGCTCCACCCTGTTTAAGCTTGCGTGTTTCCTTTTTAATAAAGAGGAAAGACCAGGCTGTTCCTGCCTATCTATGATTCAGCTTTGTAAAGCCTAATTTTATCTATTGAATCAGGACGCATGCCAACTCTCACTCCACACACTGAGGATTGGCCTTTTTCTGGTACAGCAAGATTAACAACGTCCACATTTTGGAAATATTGAACTGTGGGAATATCTATCTTCTTATACTTCCAATTGGCTATAAATCCTTTCAAAAATCTTATGTAACTGTGTTTTCAATCAATTAGAAATGCTAAGAAGAAGTAAAAACTATTAATAGCAGCAGATATAACAAAAGCACAAAGCATTGCAACTTAATTATAACTGTTTATACATTATCACTATATATAATATTTAACATTTTTAGGGTCACCTCCAGCTTAGTGCCGGGAAACTTGGAAAGAAAATGACGATTTCCAAGCTCTAAAGCTGATTCTATCTTTATTCTATTATGCACTCTTTCCTCTAGCTATTGAAGCAATCATTTTCCGGCTATAGTAGGAAGATCACTTCTCACTCAAAATAATAATAATATATATGCAGGGAGGCTCTTATTCTTCCACACCCTTTCAAAATTTTTTTTAAAAAAAAGGTAAAAACAGATATATTCCCCTAAAATCATATGGCTTGACAAACGCCAACCAAATATAAAGACAACCCAAAGTTTTCAAATTTCTCACCAATGGGTGACAAACAAGAAAATCGAAAAGGAAAGCTGTCATTTTGGCTGCACAGTCTTTTTCAACAAAAGAACAAGGGCTCTGTCCTCCATGAATACATTAGGCAACAGCCTCATCTTTCAATTATTTTTGGTGTTGGCATTTCAAATTAATGGTGCCTAGATGATTTATTTCCTTCTTTCACATATCACATCTTCCCAATTGCTTCTTAGTACAGTACTCCACTTAACTCCTTGCTAATTAGTGGACCTGTCAAACTGTTATTCATAATAATTTCTTGAAAGTTTTAACATCTTTGGTTTGTCCTTAGTTGCTTTGGTCAATTCTCATTTCTTTCCTTGGTTTCTCTTTGTCCAAGCAAACAAATCCATGAAAGAGAAATCATAACTTTCACAGTCCTAAATGATAGGATATGTGTACTATCCTGTGGCAGAATGTTCTTAACAGTAAAAAAAAGAACAGAAACACAAGTTAATTTCCATGAAATGAATGATGGAAAGGTCTACAGCTATGAGTGAGCTACTTTGTTTTCCTATCCATAATAACAAATAATCAGTGCATAACTAAGTTCTTAATGGATATTCCAATAGATAGAACTTGAGAGATTTTATGGAAGTCTCTAGTTCTTATTGAAGAACAGAAAAGATTTATATATGGGAGAAAAAAGCTGAGCAAATCAGATAGAAAGAAGTAAAGAACTAACCTCAAACAACAATGGTCTGAGTTCCCAAAGTGCAAAGGTGACCTTACAATGAACAGAGAATCCCCACTGTAAAAGTGCTAAACGTAGATATGTGGAGGGAAGAAGGAGAGTCAAATGCATTTGGTGAGTTTGCCAATCAAATTCTACTGTGATATATATATATATATATATATATATATATATATATATATATGTATGTATGGAACTTATGAAGGCATATAGCCCAATTATAGCCACCTAAGCTTTGATTAGCCCCTAGTTGTTAGGGGCATATCTCCACTCAATCTTCTCTCGATTTCCTCTCATTTAATGCCAAAAGGTGCATTTTGATTTTTATAATCCCGATTATTTAATATCAATTAGTACATAATTAAACAACTCATATGACATATTGCAATCAAGCCCCCCGGCCAGCTGCCAAAATAGTGTTGTTAACAGTTTCCTTTTCAGTTTGTTGTCTTGTATGTTCGTGAAACATTGAAGTTGCTTCCATTTTGATTAAGATAGTAGACATCTGGATTATGCCAAATACTCATGTCTTTTCTTCTTTTTCCTTCTTATTGGGAAGCATCTTGGAGTCTATTAGGGTTGTTTAAGATAGTAGACATTGAACTTAGTGCTTTTGGATCTAAAAGCTGGGGAAACATCTGAGGTAGTCTTTGTTAACATGTATTTTGCAGGGTACCCTTTAAAGTTTCTATGAGAAATCACCACATTTACAATTAACTCTGCATTTGAATATGAAATAACATTTGTCCTTAGTATATTTGTAGTATTTGTCTAAATAATACGCCACTTCTTTCTTTAAATAATTTATGACAAAGTTTGGTTGCGTCGGAAAAGGTTCAATTAGTTTAAGCACTAATTTTCAATAAAAATATACAAAAATTGGTTTCTTTTGTTTTGCTTTTTAATAATTTGGTATTGCATGTGTACAGAAAATCTACCTGAATACTTGAAAAAGGGCTTGAGAGAGCAATCTTTGCCATATAAGCATATCAAATCCCCTTAGTTGTTGAGGACATATCTCCACAAAATCTTCTATAATTGATGATTTGGTATCCCTTGCTAAGCAAAAGGTGTATTTTGTTTCTATTATGGTATCCCTTGCTAAGCCAAAGGTGTATTTTGTTTCTATTATGGTATCCCTTGTTTGCAAAATTTACTCATGGTAGAGGTGTCTATGAACCAAGCTACCAATCCTAATTCGTGACCTCAGCCCAACTCAAGTCAAGTTAATTTGAACATGATTTATCAAGTTCAAAAACGACTCAACTCCATCTGATATATATATATATATATATAAAATAATTATTCTTATTTAATTTTTCTTTTAAAATATAAAAATGATTTTGAAATGTTTTAATAATAAATTAAATTAATTAAAATGGACGGGTCAGGCCATATTTCCAATAAGAGTAGTACTTTAAAAGCACCAAAAGCATACTCGAAATTAAAGCTTAATTCAGTTAATTATATAAATTCTCAATTTTTTTTTAAAAAAATGATATCATATATGTTTTTGGGCTTAATTTAGTATAATAACATAGAGTATGTATGTATGTATGTATGTATGTATATGTAGCTCTTTACATGATAAGTTCTACTTGTTAATTAACTTGAATACTTCATTCTGATCTAAAAACAATAAACCATGGCATTGCTAATATCATTTTCTTAAGCATATGTTTTTCTACTATGAAATCACATAATTCCCATAAATCCTGGCATCATTTCATGGTCGTAGCGCTTATCTTCTCTAGCTGCTCTATCTGTCACAGTCTCATCTAGATTTAGGTAAAGCTTTTGTATATTATTGTTGAATCAATCACTTTTTCATTGTTCGTTTGATGATTTTGGTCACTTTGTTCTTCTAAGGAGAGAAGATACAAGGAGCTTTTGAAATTAAAGGGCTAAGCAGCAAAGCACGAGCACAAGGGGACACCAATGCAATTTCGAGCATATATGAATTATACTGTAACAGTCAAGAACGGATTTCTCACTGGCTAACCAAATCTAGGGACTATGCAGCAGGAGCAGCAGCGTTTTAATATTTGATCAACATTGAGAAGTTGACCCCACCCCACATGCTCAAGGGCTTCTTCAGCTGACTTCCTTAAAATTAACCTGAGCACATTCTCCCAAGTCCCAACCATTTACTTGCATGCCTATGAGCTTATCTTATCCTTTTCAACTTTCAAGGTCCCTTCCTCTGATTTTCCTTTGAATCATTTTCTTTGTATTTGCTTCGCTGGCATTTAGTCTCTTGGTGGGAGCATGTCACTGGTCCAATATTTAATTAAAAACAATTAATTCTGATTACTACATATGATTAG